TCATTTATGTGTCACTTTATGTATGCAGGAAGGTTTATAGGTAGCTTTTCTAAACAAGGAACACTCTATTTTGTAGACTAGTCAGAACAATTGGTAAGACTGTGAGCTTCAAAAAACAAGTTTGTGAATTCAATTCCAAGGCGGGGCTAATCAGCTCCAAATGAAAATCATAAGATTTCAAGCTTAAGGAATTTCAGATATAATCTTGTACAAACATAAAATTTTATAAATGAGACATGAAAACAATTTCCCTCCAAAGTTCACCAAGCAAGTTAGGAACAGAGTTTTTTAAAAAAATAAATCTAGTAAACACTAAGCCACTACACACATACACACACAGCCAAGACGCTATATAAGTATGCTCTTACATGAGTGGTTCCTCTTATTCTAAGTAGTGCTTTATCTTTATGGCTTGCAGGTACATATAGGGAGCAGCTGAAGCTGGATATTGATCACACAGGTGGAGCTAAAGCAAGAACATGGAGTGCCCGAGGAGAGCCACAGACACAAGCTGTTTCAGCTCCAAGAACAAAAGGTGCTGAGGCAAGCTAGGCAAACAAGTTGTTGGTCAAAGGGGTTTCAACTGAGATCAACCTCCCCAGTGTACAAATAAATGCACTGCCATAGTCGGGTGGTTCTTTCTCTCCCACAAGGAGAGGAGGCTCCACATGACCTCAGTTTTCTGTATCTTGACTCATTTTCCTTCATCCTCCACCAACCCCTCTGAAGTTTCAAGGGCTGTGCCAGACATGACAGATACAGAAACTCAGACTAGGTTAAGGAAAAGAAATTCAAAGGAAGGAAGGAACAATTGATCCCAAAGAAGTCCCAGAAGAAGACCATCACAAGAGATCTCCAGATTGGTTCTTGGGAAATTACCATGGACCCTTCCATTTCTGTACTTCAGATCAAAATTAAAATTTTTAGAACAGAGTACTGCTTCCAGAAATAATGGTCCAGCTTGTACAAGACCAACAGTCTCAATGAAAATAATTTATAGCTACTAAGGTGTCCAGGATGTGAGGAAAACCCAATATTCTGTACCAATTTCCACTGGAGTCATCTATTGATTTGGAAGCAATAGAAAAGTAAAAAACTGATCAGAAAGTGATGCCAAAGTACATGCCAAAGTGTTAAATAAGAAGTTATTCATTCTCAGAAGACAATATTAGAAGAACAAAGGAGTTGATGACTCAGGATACTGGTTAAAATCAGAATTCATGATTGCTGTAACATGAAAATTGAGGAACAAGTTCATAGATATGATGGGAGTAAGCTTTACATTTGGATCCTGCATTTCCTCTTGAGGCTTTTACAAGAGTATACCTATTAGCTGAAAGACCAAAATGTCAAGTAGAAAGCTGAAATTAAAATTCTGACAAGTTAAGCAAGGTTTATAGTTATGTCACAATGGTGGGGAGACCAAACCAGGAGTTATTATCCATCCAAAAATAAGAGGCTTTGATAAATATCTCAAGGTTTTCATTAGGGCTCTGAAGGGCTCCATTGTCAAATTATGGGAGACGTAAATATCAGTCACCTCCTACAAAAACCCAGCTTCCATTCAGATGAATCTCATATTGGGTAATGGGAATCTGTCTTTCATAATCAAAAGCATGTCCTGTGAATAGATAAATTTAATCACGTTAAATATTTTTATTTTATGGAAAAAAGTAAAATAAAACTTCATAATGAACTCATAGAAGAATAACAATAGTTAATACATTGAGTATTGTTATCTTTAAAGTTGTTAATCAGAGTACAAATTATGGGCATAAAACATTCTCCAAACAATATTAGCACAAACCTTTCTTTTCAAAGAATGAAGAGAAAGAAACTAGTAGTATCGCATCTTATATTTTGTGGTTCTTTTACTTTTCCCTTCCTTCCTTTCTCCTTTCCCCTATTCTAGTTCCTTTCTCTTTTTTGAACAATTTCTTCCCATTTCACAATATCTATTATACATTTCAGACCTTGTTTGTGCTTTCAATTTCTCATACCAGGGAGACAATATGATGTTTACACATGTGAGTCTGATTCATTTCACTTATGAATATGGTCTCTCAGTGCATACACTTACCTATAAAAGTCTCAAGCTTATCCTTCTTTATGAGTAGTATTCTTTATGAGTAGTAGGTTGAGTAGTATTCCATTGTATAAAAACACCACATCGTTTTTACTCATTCTTTGATTGGTTGGCATTTGGGTTGTTTCCAAGATTTAGCTATTACAGATTATGCTGTTATAAACATGAGCATACATATATTGCTGTGCTATGATGTTTTTAATTCTTCTGGGGAAATACTCAGAACGGCAATAGCTGGGTAGAGTGGGACCTCTAATCCTAGGACTCTCCACACGGATTTTCACAGAGGTTGCACCAGGCTACACTCCCACCAACAGTGGAGAAGCGTTCCTCTTTCCCCATAGCCCCTCCAGCATTTCTTACTGGTTGATTTCTTGATGATAGCCACTCTTTCTGGAGTGAGATAAAATCTCAGTGTTGTTTTAATTTGCATCTCTCAAATGACCAATGATGCTGAGCATTTTTTCATATATTTATTTGCCAATTGTATTTCTTCATCTGAGAAGCACATTAAAATTTGAAAGATCTTATTTGAACAAAAGATAATACATTAATTAGACAGTGCCAGACTGCACGCAGTTTGGGGCATTGCTAATGGGGCTTTCTATGGAGTAAATATGAAAGCAAGCTGGAGAGAGTATTTGGTTAAAGTGGAGTAGTAGTCTTATTTAGATCATTCCATGGGCAAGTCCCCAGTCAAAAGTTAGTTGGCAATTTCTAAATTCTAATTTTTATGCTCATATCTTGTACTCTGATTAACTATTTTAAAGATAACACTATACAATGTACTAATTATTGTTATTCTATTATATTGTTTTGAACTTTTACTTTATTTTTTCCATAAAATAAAAGATTAAATTTATTTTACTGTTTATCCTGACCTGATTTTAGTTTGCTTATGTAGCAATCCAAGGGGCTGAAACCAGCTCACCCTTATGCCCTCCCAACTAATTATTTTAATAGTCCTTTCTAGAGGAAAATAACATCATCCAGCTTCTGTGATATTTCTACATTTGTCTGACAGTTTAAAAAGTTTAAAAAGAGATGGGAAAGGAGGAAAACAAGGATTTTTTTAAAACTTCAACATTTTTAAGAAAATGAGTAGAAGGATGGGGAATAACAAAACTATGATCTATCTCAAATAACTCAATGGAAATCCTTTTTTCTCAATTGTTATTAGTATATGTTCCTAATACATAGTAAATGCGTCCTTCGCGGGGAAATATGTACACACACGTACAATCCTTTTTACTTCCCCTCCCCTCACTCCCATCTTCGGCATCCCCAGCTCCCCTTCCCTTCCTTTCAAAGAACCAACTCTGAATCATTGATCCTTTGTGGTTTTTTACCTCAACTTCATTAATTTTTGCTCCAATCTTCATAATCATTTCCTCTATTAGTTTCAGATGTGAAATGTTCTTGTCTTTCAAGGATCCTGAGATGCATGATTAAGTTGTTTATTTGGGATTTCTCTAGTCTTTTTATGTGCCCATTTACAGCTATTAACTTCCCTGTTAGAATGGCTTTCATTGTTTCCCCTAGGTTTTGTATGTTGTATTTCCATTATCATTTGATTCCAGAAACTTTTTTGATACCTTTTCCGATTTTTTCTGTTAACCATTGATTACACAATATTGTATTTTTAATTTCCACGTGTTTGTGTAGATTCTGTGGCTTATTTTGCTATTGATTTCTAGCTTCATTCCACTATGATCCAATAGAATGTAGGGCACTACTTCAATCTTTTGTAGTTATTTAAGCATGCTTTATGACCTCTGATATGGCCTATTTTGGAAAAAAGTCCCCTATGTTATTGAGAAAAAGGTGCCTTCTGTGGTCGTTGGGGGAAATATTTGGTAGATATAGGAAATAATTGGTTGATTAAGTCCTTTGTTCAATGGTGTGTTTAGCTCTGTTTCTTTGGTGCTTTTTTGACTGGTTGACCTATGAGAGTGGAGTATTGAAGTCCCCCACTGTGATTGTATTGATGTCTATTTGTGCTTTGAAGTCCAGTAATCTTTGTTCAGTATGCAGACATTCATAGCATAGAGATTTATAATTGTTACCTCTTCCTGTTGAATTGTTCTCTATATCTGTATAATGGCTATCTTCTGGTCTTCTGATAAATTCTGGCTTGAAGTTAGCTGTGTCTGAAAATAAGTTACCTACTCCTGCTTGCTTTTGGGCTCTAGTTGAATGAGGTATATTTTTTTCTCCTTTCACTTGCAGTCCATATCCCACTATCCCTGCTAGGTGTTTCAGCCAATAGTTCGGTGCCCGCCTGAGGGTTATAGTCACTCGGGGGCTCTTAGTGTTTTTGCACTTCTATGCATCCAAATGACTGCTATCTTTGACTGGCTTTATGGCCTGTAGGCTCATGAGGTGCCTCCTTTGCTCCACAGACCCCTCTGCCCAGACACCCCAGGATGTGATAGCTGTAGAAGCTGAAGCATATCCCTGATCACAATGTCAGATGAGAAAAGCAAAGAGACCCTTGAACTCTACGCTGAAAGTATGCAGCACATGAGAATAAACAGTCTGGTAGAATTAATGTCAACATGTTCCAACCAGGCCCCTCAGAAATCCACACCACTGACCTTGCTTCTCACCACAGAGTGTGAGACACCTTATCCTCCAAAACCTGGGTTCACTGCTGCTCAAACTTCCCAGGGGATCTGCGACTACCCATCTTTTCTCTGTGACTGTCTTTTGTGACCATCTCCCACACAACCACTGTGTTAAGTGATCCTAGAGACCCCGAAGTCTGATTCCCAGAGTAAATCAGTTTTAAATAATAAACCGCTTCCCCCAGTTGCTTCTGATTATATTGCCCCTAAGTGTAGCAGACACTGCAGTGAATTTATTCTCCAACTTTATCCTGTTATGTGGAGGAAATAATTTTCAGAGTAAAACCTCATGCTCTATTTGCAGTTTACCCATGTGTTTTGTTGGGCTAGTGGGCTGGCCTGTGGTTTCTTCTTGGGGCTTCTGACCTTTCTGAACATATCTTGTGTTTGTGGAGACAACACCTCATCCCCAGGACCTGGGATTAGCAGTCCAGACTGCTTTATAATTTTCTCTACAATATCTGTAGTTCCCTTAGTTTCTCTGTAGCTTCTAGTTTTCTTATCAGTTCATTCTTCATTCCCAGAGCTCTACTTTTTTTCTCTTTGCTAAGTTACTGTTTTCCACATGTCTTGTTCCAGGTCTCAGAGAAGCTGTCTGAGTAGAAATTCTTAAACTGAAAAAGAAGAAAAAAGATTAAGAATTCACTAAACATTTAAACATGAGACTGGACATGGAAAAGCAGAGAATTAGCCTTTTTGAGGATCCATCAATAGAATATACCAAGAATGAAACAAAGGGATAAATAAAATGATGAGATATGCACAAAATGCAGAAGAGATATACAAAGCTTCTGAAAAAAACTCTGTGCCAACAAGGGAGTAAAAAAAACTGAGACTAGTAGGGGAGGATATAAGCAATTTTTGAAGAGAATTTTCTAAACTGACTTAAAACCAAACCACAGATTCAGAAACTCTATGAATGTCAAGTAGCGATAATACATAAAGCAAAAAAAATTTAAAAAAACAAAAAAATACACAAATACTGGAGCTAACATAGTAATGCTTGTAAAATATAATAGCAATGAGAAAGTTTTAAAAACAGCCACAAAAAGAAACATTATTTTTAAAAGCTATGCTAACAATATTTAAAGACTTCTCAACAGTAACCATGTAAGCCATGTAAGACAATGGAATAGTGTCTCTAAAGTGCTTAACCAAATTTCCATTAATAGCATACTGCTTGGGGGGCTGGGGATTTAGCTCAGCGGCAAAGCGCCTGCCTGGCAAGCACAAGGTCGTGAGTTTGGTTCCCGGTACCGGAGAAAAACCAAAAAAAAAGTAAAAAAAAAAAAAAATAGCATACTGCTTGAATTTCTTTGAGTAAATTCCCATGCATGTGGAGGGTTGGGCATTATGATTTGAAAGCTTCCCAAAGGAAACAGGAGCTGCAGCAAGTGAACAGTGTAGGGAAGAAATAGGTAAGACTAACAGAAACAAAAAGCATGCACTGATTTAATCCTTATTAATTTATATGAGGATCATACATAATAAACTACCAAGTGGGGACTTGAGGTCACACTTCTACCTCTAGTCCCTTAACCTCTATTTCCCTAATGTGCTATGCATAGAAAGAAAGAAGTTGTTAATTAGATTGGTTAAGTCAAACCTGGCAGTCCCAGTTTGGCAGATGTTTTAGCCTTATTCAAAGGGAGATTCATTTTATTTATTGCTTTTATTTTATTTTAAAGAAAACTAGCAATACAAAATTTCAAAATAAGATACTAGGAGATTAGCAATGGTTAATATATTGCGTACTGTTATCTTCAAGGTAGTTGCTCAGATTACAAGATATAGGCATGCAGAACTGATCAAACAATATAAGCACAAACCGATTTTTTTCAATGAAATAAAAGAAGCCGATAGTGTAACTATCTTATCTATCTTTGTACATATATTTTTTTCCCCTTCTTCTTTTCTCCTTTTAGCCATCCCAGTTATTCTTTCTTTTTGAACAGTTTTTTTTTCCCCCTTTTTCAATATCTATTTTAGATTTTGGGTCTTTTTTACTTTTTCAGTTTTTTGCACAGACAGCCAAAATGATGTTTACACATGAGAGTTTGATTTATTTCACTTATGCGTATGGTCTCTAGTTGCACTTATTTACCTATAAAATCCTGGAGTTTATCCATCTTTACAGCTCAGTAGTACTCCATTATATAAAAATTATATAAAACCACATATATAAAAATTATACAAAACTCCATTATATAAAACCACATTTTCTTTATCCATTCCTCAGTTGATGGGTGTGTGAGTTGTTTCCAAGATTTAGCTATTAAAAATTGTGCAGCTATAAACATGGATGCATATATACCACTGTGGTATGATGTTTTCAATTTTTCTTGGAATTCTCAAAGGGCTACAGTGGGATCAAATGAGACCTCTAATCCTAGTTTTCTAAGGAATCCCTATACTGATATCCACAGTATGCATCCACTGATGCCTACCCCTGTGTCTTTAAGATTTGCACCTGCTTTCTCTTCCAATAGATTTAGTGTTTCTGTTTTAATATGTAGATCTTTGATCCACTTTGACTTTAGTTTAGGGCGTGGTGAAAGCCATGGGTCTAGTTTTAGTCATCAGCATGTGGAAAGCCAGTTTTTCCAGCACCATTTATTAAAGAGGCTATCTTTCTTCCTTTGAACATGTTTGGCCCTTTGTAAAAAATAAGGTGGCTGATTGTATTTGTAGCTGTATCTGTATCTCCTAATCTGTTCCACTGATCCTCCAGTCTGCTTTTTTGCCAGTACTATGCAGGTTTTATCACAGTAGCTTTGTAGTATAATCTCAAGTCATAGATTGTGATACCTCCTGCCTTGCATTTATTGCCCAAGACTGCCTATGCTATTCTAGGTTTCTTCTGGGTCCAGATGAATTTTAGGAATGTCTTCTCTAGAGCTGTGTGTTATACTAATGGTATTTTGATCATGACTGCATTAAATCTGTGTGGCAATGTTGGGAGTATGGCCATTTTCACAATGTTGGTTCTTCCTATTCATGAACAAGGGATGTCTTTCCATTTTCTGATATCCTCTTTGATCTCTTTTTTCAGAGTGCCATAATTTTTGATGTATAGATCTTTTATTTTCTTTGTTAGATTGATTCCTAAGTTTTTCTCTTTTTTTCTTTTTTTTTCTTTTTGGATGCTATTGTGAAGGTGTGGTTTCCTTAATTTCTCTCTCAGTGAGTTTTCTCTTTTTGTACAGGAATGCTATTGATTTTTGAATATTGACCTTGTATCCAGCTATGCTATTGAATTTGATTATTAACTGTAGAAGTCTTTCAGTGGAGTTTTTGGGGTCTTTTACTTAGAGTACCATGTCACGGAGATTCATTTTAACATTACATGGAAAATATCAATCTTTCTTTGAGATTAAAAAGAAATCAAGATTTCATGAAAGAACTGACAGTACTATTCTCATATGTAAAATGCCCAATACATCTATTTATCAGCTAATGTGCAAAATTATGCTTCCAATCAAAGACCTAACTCAAGGCAACGAAATTGTGACTGCTCACAATAATAAGCCAAGTAAATTAAATTCCCTCCTATGAGAGAATAATGATAATAAGTAGTGTGGCTATAATGAACCCATTCATCCAATTTGGTTGGTGTTATGTCTCAACACACAAAGGGACACATGGAACTATGTAACTGATGAAGTTGCTTATACTCTTACTATTTTAGTAAATTATACTCTTAATGGGATAAGATAAATGCTAAGGTAAATACTACTGGAACTTGTCCAACTTTTCACTCTTCTTCTTTAATGATTAACAAGTCACAGAAGAGTTATTTTTTCAACCTTCCAAATCAGATGTAATGAATATACATTGAAAGAGGACAACACTTCAAAAAATTGTGCAAGCCCTTCAGAATAAACTCAATCCAACTTGTCTGGCAGAAGTGATTCACTTAGCTTCTGAGTGGTGTTTTCTTATTTTGAGCATCCATTTCACCATCCAAAAACACCCTGTCAAATCAGTCTTAGACACTGCCTATTAAAATGTTAAACTTCACCTGATAAAATGTAATTATAGCATTCCTGACATTTTCACATAGCACACACATGCTTCAAGCCAATTTTGTTGGAGTTAAGATTATTCCTCTAGATGTGTGAATGCATGATGAAGCTGTAAGGAATATCAATATGTCAAACTCTAATATAGTTAAGGAACTGAATCCAAAACACATAAGAAGACTAAACCAGAATATGTATAAAATGAATAATAATGGATGAATGGTGACAAAAGCCACCAAAAATACTTGAGGAGCTCACTACATTATGCAGTTAAATAAAGACTAAAATGGCATCCAGTAGCCAAATGCTTAAAGGTTAATGAATCAAGTTTTTTAATTTATTGGGTCAATGATTCATTATTTAGAGAACTTTTAAAAATTACCAACATATCTACCCAGTACAAGATCTCTTGAGCCAGAATTTCTGGAGGTAAGACCTAGATATGATGTTGTTCCTAAAACCTACCTCTTCCCCAGTTATTGTACTGTAAACATTGGTCACATTTGAACATGGGCAACTATAACTTTATAATAATCATAAAATTAATTATGAAAATAATTATAAAATGAATATCTGAGATGGTTAGGTCAACTTTCTTATACATTATTCTTAAAGATGCATTTGAATCTATTCACAACTCAAGTAACAATATTTTGGACAAAGTGAGATGTGTGGAACTATAAAAAGTTGTTCACAAGTTCTTTGATATGCCTCCCTTAAAATGATAGGACTTACTTTATCTTTGACAAAGGAGCCAAACATGTTCATTGGAAGAAAGATAGCCTCTTTAAAAAATGATGCTGGAAAAACTGGCTTTCTGCATGCTGAAGACTAAAACTAGAACTATGTCTTTCACCACGCCCTAAACTAAAGTCAAAATGGATCAAAGATCTAAATATTAAAACAGAAACATTAAATCTATTGGAAGTGAAAGTAGGTAAAAATCTTGAAGACATAGGGGTAGGAAGAGGGTTCATGAACAAAAACCAAACTGCACAGGAAATACTTCAAAGAATCAACAATGGACATCTCATCTGAAAAGTTTCTGCACATTAAAAATAATCACTGATAGAGTAAAAAGAAAACCCATGAATTGGGAAAAAATATTAGTCAAATTCCCCTCAGACAAAAGACTTTGATCTAAAACATATGAAGAATTAAAAAAAATCAGGCCCCCCAAATTCAAAGACCCAATCAAAAAATGGGCATCTGAGATGAATATGTACTAGTCAGATGAAGAAATACAAATGGCAAATAAATACATGAAAAATGCTCCACGTTATTAGTAATTTGAGAAATGCAATTTAAAACAACACTGAGATTCCATCTCACTCCAGAAAGAATGGTCATTATCAAGAAATCAACCAATGACAACTGCTGGAGGGGCTGTGGAGGAAAAAGGAGCCCCACTCCACTGTTGGTGGGAGTGTAGATGGTGAAACCGCTGTGGAAATCAGTTTGGAGATTGCTCACAAAACTAGGATTAGAGGTCTCATTTAACTCAGCTATTCCCTGTCTGGGTATTTTCCCAGAAAAATTAATAATATCATACCACAGCAATATATGTACACCCATCTTTATAGCACACAATT